TTTCCTGTTTTTTGTGGTACCATATGCCTCCCCCCTCCTCTCGATGACGAGGGAACCAGTAAGGTCGTACCAACCCCTTAAAAAAAGGGCCGTCGCACGGACTCGGCCAAAATCCCTAACCAATGATGTGCCCTGACCAAAAGACCATAGAAACAGTGCAGCCTCATTGACTTTAAAGTTGAGCTTTCCTTGTAGCAGACGTATCTGAGACCGTGCCGATTGGCATATCCTCTGGAACAAACCTGCAGTGTGGTCACTTTGGTGTTCTCGAGCAGACGAATGATCTCCCAAGTTTCTTCCTGCCACACTTCTATTTCTTCGATAACCGTCACTTTCTTCTTCAGTTCAGCCTTAATATACTGTTATTAGTATGGGTCAACAACTGAAGACATCTATTAAGAAACTTGGTTCTTTTTCCTGCGATGCATATTTTTTTGTTTTTTTTGATCTGCTTTGCTGAATTATAATAGCAAGACATTTTCGAAAGATCATTTAGGCATTGTTCACAGTCTGCGAACCTGCGTTTCTCTCGAAAGAAACGCTTCGGCGAAAAGCTTTTGATACGTATCGATTGGCGTTGGGCGAAGAGTCTGGCGGTTGCGCGAAACGGTTTTGATACGTATCGACGGGCGGTTCGGCGCAGCGATTGGTCGGTAAACGCTAGCTCGACCGCCCTGGTGCCAGCTAAATCGATACGCATCTATTGCTTTTCGCCGAACCGCCCTTTCGTCAGGATCGCTGTCTGTGAACAATGCCTTAGTGGTGGATCAGTCACGATCTCGGTTCGGCGTAATCGTTGTCTACAAAGGGATAGAACTATTGCGACCTTTGGAGGGTACACATTTATCACTTGTATAGAAGTTCTTGTTTTGTTTGTCTTTCTTCGCTGTGATTAGGAACTTTACGCAAGCAAATCAGCATTGGGGTAGAAACACGGCATGTGCAGGGTTGTAAGGCTCAATTACTAATGACAAGTAGGCAACACAAAAGTGTAGGGAAAAGTAGGAAAAGCTCGCCCGAAACTCCCTGTATAGAACCCCATGCTGAATCACGCTTGTGCGTGCATACAGTCCTCATCATTACGTACTGTCGGGGCGGTTCAGTGCGGCTGCGTTTGGCGCGGTGCCAAACCCGCTCTCCACCAGTATTTAAAGCGAGCAAATGATATGACTGTATTATATCCTCCGTATTACTCGTTTTCTACCACTTTTTGTCGCATACGCGTTTCAACAAAAAGGCTGAGAACGGCTTCAACAGTGTGCACACTCATACTGGCTGACACGCCCCACCGGTCCGAGGACT